AGAATTGTAAGAGAGAATGTAGATCCTGGTAAACTTTATCATTGGTGCTAGCCTGGAGCTCTCCCCTCAGGTTTTCTTAAAGAGTATCTTAAAATGAACAAAATGCTTGGTACCAGATTGACTTACTGCCTTAGATGCACTATTTGCTTCCAAGTATTAAATAGAATTGAACCCAAAGAATGAAACTGATCATTTAGGATCAAGGTATAAAATATAGAAGCCTCACAATGTGTCATAAGATGTTCAGGATGTTTAATAAAGGTGCCAAGAAATGGCTTTCTGAGACTACCTTAAATGCCAATCCACAGTGAATCTTCCCTCTTAATTCCCTTTATTTCACTCGGAATTCTCAGAGGATGGCTGTTTCTTCACCAGTAACGAGCTAAACGCTGACATTTGCTGGGGGAGGGGCTGAGGGAAGAACTCCATGGCTTGTCTTGGAAGAATACCGAGGCTGGTGAAGACGCGTGACTTGCCAAGAGAATGAGATGACCGCAGTGGCTGCCCAGTGAGCCCATCTCCATGTTCAGGAGCATCATCTCTCACTTCCACACACATCCCACAGGCCCGTCGTCGCTCTCGGCCCAGATCCCTGACGGACCTTGAGGGCAGCCAGAAGATGATCCTGTGCTCTCAGCCGCTCCACCCCTGGCCCACCGAACGTACCTGAGTGAGAGGGAGCAAGTATGGCAATGACTTGCAAATATTCTAAATCCCTGAACATTCTGAATTATTCAGTTAACCCCTCAAAGCCAAGATAGGAAGGCTTGGGATTAAAAGAAAGAAAAGATGCAACTTTTCAAGTTTAATCTTTAAGAATAAAAATTATTTGTGAAAATTCAAACAAATGTGGTACCCCACATAGGATTTTTGTGAAGCATTTAATTCATGGGCTCCAGAAATACAAGAAGAATTTTAAAAATCTATAGAAAAATTCTGTCGCGTCCTATTTCCGTTTTTCTACAGACGTTTGGAAGCCCTCTTATAGCATAGAAACTGAATTAGAGTGTTGTATAAATTTGCTTATACAATGAGGCACCTTCCCCCAACCCCCAGAAAAAAAAGGAAAATAGTTCTGCTATGGAGAGCTTTCAAAGTACACATTTTTCCGGCTAGACAAGTATCCAGCTACTCACTCTGAGTTAGTACACCCAGTAGTGTCACCTGGGTAGATTCTCTGATCACCATGAATTTTTTCATAAAAGCAGTTTCTCTTGAGCCTCTGTTTTGTGGTGGCCGATTTAAGAGAACAGCGTGTGTCTGTGAAATTTCGTTTCCTGCTCGGGAAAAATGCCGCAGAAACTGCTGTGATGTTGAACACAGCTTCTAAGGACGGCGCTGTGGGAAAGACTCAAGTGTATGAGGGTTTCTCATTTCAAAAAAGGCGAAGTGTTGATTGATGAAAACTTCATTCTGGATATCCAACCACTTCCCGAACGGAAGACGGTGTCGGCAAAAATTGGTGCACTTGTGCACAAAGACCTACGACAGACCATGGAAGAAATGAGGCAATTATCTGGACTGTCTGGGAGCTCGGTTCAGTGAATGTGAATAAAAGATTTAGGAATAAGAAGGGTCATTGCAAAATTTGTGCCTCAGGTCCTGACTGACCAGGAAAGATTGTCCAGTGGAAACAAGGCATGCTTTGAAAGAACAGCTCCCAAGTGACCTAGACTTTTCCCCCCAGGTCAGTACCGGTGACAGACATGCTGCTAGTCTTATGATACTGAAAGCAAACATCCTTCAAGCCAGCCATCACCTCGCCCCACAAAAGTGCAATAAGTCAAAGATCAAGATGATGCTCATTTGGTTTTTGGCTTTTTTTGGCGAGAGGGGGATAGTGATTTTGGAGTTCATTCCACCAGGTCAGACTAGTAATCAAGCTTTCTATTTAGAGGTTCTGAAAAGATTGTGTGACCATGTGCAACAGAAAAGGCTGATTTGTGGCAGACGGCGGACTGGTTTTGCCACGATGGCAATGCACCTGTGCATGCAGCCATTTTAGTGGGCCAGTTTTTGCCCCAAAATCCAGAATGCCTCTCGTGCCCCTGGCAGCAGTTTACTTACCTGACCTCGCTCTGTGACTTTTCTTTGTTCCCTGTTTCCTCAAATGAAGAGGGACATGAAAGGACAGTGATTTGACGACATAGAAGAGGCGAAGAAAAAAAAGACGAAGGAGGTGCTATCAGCCATCCAAACAGATAATTTTGAAAAAGGTTTCCAAGAATAAAAACAAATTCTGTTTTTTGGGGGGGTAGGTACCCCTAATATATAGGCATTTAAAAATATTAGGCACATTATTTTGTATGGCTAGCAGAGTTTACATCAGACCTCCTGCTGCACATAAAATAGTTCTACCTTTTTAAAATAGTAAGACTAGGAAACAGCGTAAAACTCTTCGATACAATATATGCAAATGGACTTTGAATATTCAAATATAATTTAAATATAAGAAAGAAAACAAGCCAACAAAAACAGTGGCCCTGGTGCATACAGGGCCTTCTGCTGGGTACGTTCTTCCACTGCACAAGCTAATGATAAGCCTTCTTAACAGTCTCCATTCTATAATTCTTTTTTTTTAAATCATTTTATTGGGGGCTCTTATAGCTCTTATCACAATCCATCCATCCACCCATCCATCATGTCAAGCACATTTGTGCATGTGTTCCGTCATCATTTTCTTTCTACTTGAGCCCTTGGTCTCAGCTCATCCACCCCCCTGGAACCCCATTCTGTAATTCTTAAAGGGACTTGTTTACAACCTATATTCTCAACATCACTTGTTAACGTATATCTCCTTTAAAAATAGAAAGGCCAGAGGAAAACACCCTGGAGACATAACACCCAATGCAATGTCTTTAGAGGCACCCAGGGAAAATTTACTTGTCCAGATGTGTGATCATAGTAGGACTTTACTAGTTAGATCAGGGTTCAATCTAGTATTCCACCTCTGTGTTTGTATGTTTTCATAGTTAAAGTAAAAACCATCAATCACACAAACATGATATTGTCTCTTCAATATTATCTTTATTTTCTACCAGAAAGTACTATTTAAAGCTGTGTGAATGGGGTTTGATCTTATAATCTGATTTATTGATAATTGAGACAAACTTAAAATCTTATTGGATAATAAGATTACCTTTAGGAGTAAATTTGCACTGTAAAGATATCACTTGAAAATAATGCAGTGATGCTATTTTACCTAAGCTGAAAATGGCTATGTTTCTTCACAATGTGATGTTTCCGCTATTCCTAACAGACCTGGTTTATCTCGTGCAAACCTGCCACACAAAAAAAGGAAAACAAAGCATCTCACATATATTTAATTCATTCTGATTATCTTACTTTCTGTTTTTATAAAGCAGGGTTAATAATAAGCTCCAGTTTAACAGTAATACAATTAAATGAAGATTAATGACTGAGCATTTCTAAAACCCTTTGAGAATTATTTGATCATGCATAAGATGCATTCTCATTTATTATCTGAGTCATAAATGACTGGGCAAAAAAGTACTATATTGAGTTCGCATCAGTCTTACAGATTAGGAGATAATACTCAATATGGAGGAAATTTGACCAACCTCATTGGGCAGTTTTTCCAATTTTGTAAGACTGCAAAGGTCAGTAAGTTGTATGCCAATTTTGAACACAAGGTACTTAATGAAAAGAAATTTAGGGATACGATTGCTTGAGGCTCTCTTTGACAAGCACTCTGTCAACCGAGGAAGAAGGGAGGGGAGAGACCATGCTACCTGCTGTGCGGATCGGAGGCTGGAGAAAACAATGCATCAAGCAACTTAAGACAGTTTGCTGTTTTATATGCAGTGAAACTTCCTTTCTCCTCCAGCAAGGTCTTTATTACCCTTTCCTGGGAAGATGTGTTCCCTTAAACGTTAAGATATGTCTGTAAGTTTGAAATTTGAATACGGGCTTCGTTGTGTCTGGAAACCTCCGCGGCCACACGCTTTCTCCTTTCTCTTTTGAAGGCGTGCGGATGCTGGACGGCGATGTCACCGACATGGTTGAAGCGAAGTCCGTCAGCTTCAACCCTCAGCACGTGCACATCTACAGCGCCAGCTGGGGCCCGGACGATGACGGCAAGACCGTGGATGGCCCAGCTCCACTCACCCGGCAAGCCTTTGAAAATGGCGTCAGAATGGTAGGTTGTCCACATCATAGTCAGACCCTTTGCAGTGGCTCCACGTGATGATTCCCATGGGAAGCCATCCCTGAATTCTTTCACGAGGTTTCCAGTGAAACCTCACTCACCTGTTGAGGCAATGAAAGGAAAAAGAAAAATGTCGCCAAAGAATTCATTCCAAATCATGCCAACCCCATGTTACATCGGAGAACTGGGATTCCGGGGGTTTTCTTAGCTGTACTCCTTAGAAAATCAGAGCATGAGAACTTGCATCTGCAGCCCTGCTCTGCTGTTATAAGGGAGAACCTTCTAGTTAACGCCCAGAGCAAATCATTTGCGTCGAAAAACCTGAGTCAAAGCAACGTGGTTCCAGCTCATAGCGACCCCATAGGACAAAGTAGAACTGCCCCTCAGAATTTCCACAGTTGTAAAGCTGTCCGTCTGCCGACCACCGCATCCTTCTACATGGAATGACCAACCGGTGCTTACAACCCCAAACCTCTGTGCTAGCAGCCAAGCACTTAACCTTTGCACCACCAAAGTAGAGAGGGGCTAAACATTTGGGTTGGGTTGTTTCTGATGGCAAATGAATGAAGAGCTAGGGTGTTTCTCTGAGGAGAACAGAGATGAATTGGGAAGCCCAGATTTGATCAAATTAATATTGTAAGCCTGTGTTTGGAGCAGTAAAGGCTTGTGATTTCCAGGTTGAGGAGAAGAGGCAATAATGCTACCTGACAGTCACTGTGGATAGATGATTCAGCCAAGCCTTCCTGGTCTTGTAACTCCCTGTGTCCTGTTTCCCAAGTCTCGCCTCACCTAGTCTCTGCAGGCAGGCAGCTGGATCCATCATCGTCTTTGATAGCAGTAAACATAGACCAGCACGCACACAAACACATCGAAAAAGTGACCGTGTAAGCTAATGTAATAATTCAGTAAACAATTAGATGACTAATAGAAATTTTTAATTAAAAAAAGGGCGTTACGTACTATATACTTATCACGAGCGAAAAATGCGGCCTCTGCTAAAAGCAACTCGTGTTTTAATTTAATGCCATATTAGCTTTTGGGCGACGGAAACAAAGAAGGAAAAACAACTCACTGTGGCTGAGGTGATTCCAATTCATAGAGACCCTCCCTCTGTGAATGGTTTCCAAGCAGATAGGCCCGTCTTTCCCCCGAGAATTCGCTGCTGGTTTTGAACCGTTGACTTTGCCGTTGTCCGTCCAGTGCCTTGTTCACAAAACCAGGGCTCCAGAAAGCATATACTTAAATATGTTCATTTAAGCCTAATGTTGGTCAGGTCCTAATCTCATTCCTTCTGCATCTCTCTTGATCCCTTTGCATGGAAGTGCTCACCAGCAGTTCAACCCCCAGGAAAGCCGTGGAAACCCAATGGGGTCATTCTGCCCTTTCCTGTAGGGTCAGTGTTCGTGGGAATGAACTCTTTGGCCATAGGTTTGGTTATAGCTGACCTGGCTGTCCTCTCCCACAAAGATGACCAAATGCAGCATAGGCAAATGGTTCTGACTCATAGTGAGCCCCTATTGCACTTGACCATTGGGTTCTCAAGGCTGTAATCTATATGAAAACAAGCTGCTGCATCTTTGTCCTGCTGAGCAGCTGGTCCTCTACCACCGCCAGTGCGTCATCCACAGGGCTGCTGTGAATCAAAGCCAACGTGGCTGCGCGAGCACCGCACTCCTCACCACTCACCAGCACATACTGCCCTCACTGCATCTGTGAGTTCCTGCTCTTTCTACCTGGCACCTGCTCACCTACAGATTCAGCAAGTGCTCCCCTTGGACTATCAAGCCTCAGCTCAAATGTTACGTCCTCGTCCCTGCATCCCTCTCATGGGCCATCTGCTGGATGAAGTAGCCTTTCTATGCTTCCTGGGGTTACATAGTGTCTTTATCATTTTGTGCTGTAAAGGCAGAGCTCCTACACGCCTCACTAAAGGCCACGTTCTTAGAAAGCTGAGCTTATGTGCTTCCCATCCTTAGGGGCTTTGCAAAACCAAGATGGTGTGAGTGCTTCATAAATGTTTGTTGAATCGAATTTAATTTGCTACAAATTGTGCTAACCACAGGGTTGTTACATATTCAGCCCAGATGTAGCACAGTGGAGTGCATGCAGTTGATTAATGCAGCATTGCAGCTTGAGTGCAAATAATGATTCTCATACCTTCATGAGGTTGTTATTGCAGATTTAATCAGAAGACTGAGCTAAGCAGTCTCCCGCTTATTCAGAAAGAGCCTAGAGAGGGAAGCTTATGTACTTGTTCTGTTGAAACTTCCTAACCAAACATGCCCTTTCAATTTGTAGCTACATTAATCCAGAGAATAATGTTTTCAATCATTGCCTCGAATTTTTCTTTCAAGGTCCTTTAACATAAAATGAATGTATTTTTTTTCCTGGCAAATAATTTTTTTTACTAATCATTTTATTAGGGGCTCATACAACTCTTCACAATCCTTACATACATCATTTGTGTCTAGCACATTAGTATATATGTTGACATCATCATTCTCATAACACCTCCTTTCTACTTGAGCCCTTGGTATCAGCTCCTCATTTTCCCATCTCCCTCCCCGTTCCCCATCCCCCTGAACCCTTGATAATTTTTAAATTATTATTATTTTATCATATCTTTTTAAAATCATTTTATTAGGGGCTCATGACTCTTATCACAATCCATACATACATCAATTGTGTAAAGCACATTTGTACATTCATTGCCCTCGTCATTCTCAAAACATTTGCTCTCCACTTAAGCCCCCATATTTTATCCTATCTTACACCATCCGACGTCTGTGTGCTTGTTAGCGGTTGAATGGAAATACAAATTAAATAAATCATGAATCATTCAGATGTAAATTTAAATTGATGTGTATGACTTCTAATATAGTAAATAATCTGGCACTTCTTGTTAATATAGTTATATTAATTATATTAGTAATGCATACAGTCTCATGAGTAGACATATATGAGGGAGTACCCCCAAAAGAGCGGAATTCCCCCACCCCCCAAACCTTTGTATTTAAAATATTTTTACAAAACAACCATATCACCTTCAAGGTAGTCTCCATTAAACCTAATACAGTAGAACCTCGGACCTTGATGCTAATCCGTTCAAAGAGATTGCTATGCAATCAAGTTCCGAATCAATTTTTCCCATAAGAAATAACAGAAAACAGATTAATCGATTCTTGACCACCAACTTTTTACCCTAACCTTGCCTTTTTATACAAAACATTACACAGAAATTTCAAAGTAAACAAGTTCAGAGTTAAATAATACAATTTCAATTAGAAACACAATATTAAAAAGGGTTTTTAACAGCTACAGTATGGTCCATACCTTGAGGTTGTTGAGGATCTGGATCTGTGGACATGGATGTGGAGAGGAGGCGTGGAGAAGGAGTCATTGTTTGGAAGGTGAATCCCCTTCCTTAAAATCAACTGGTAGCCGCCTTTCAGTTTTCCCTTCTTTGCCTTCTTTTTCTGTAGGACCTGGTTGACTTTCTCTTAAAAAAAAATCTGTCTAATGTGGTCTGCTGTTGGGATTTCCTTACTGTTTTCTAAGAGTTTACTAAATGACCAACAATAGCGATAACATGGTTAACCAGTTGCTTATCATGATGATTCTTTTCAAAAAATTCTTTCTTAGGATCCCTGATTTTCTATCTCAAAACAGTACAAAAAGCCAACAAAAACTAAGAAAATTAATAGCAAAACGCTTGGAACACAGCTGCAAAAGGTTTAAATAACACATACTAACAACACGAACTAAAGCCAGAGTGAACGAAACACTGTTTTTGATCACAAAGATCACGTGCTTTGGGTCAGAATCCGATGTTTTGTTCGAGGTCCCATGCACAGTGTTCCCAACATCTCACCTCGAAATCTGATTATGTCGAGTACCGAAGCAGTCAGGTACCGGGGGTTCTATTGCACATTTGTCAAATCTGCAATTCTGTTGGAAACATTTTTCAAACTACTCTGTTTGGATGGCTGACAAGCCCCTCCTCTTTTCTTCTCCATCTCTTTTACATCTTCCAATCACTGTTCTTTCATTTTCCTCTTGATTTGAGGAACCAAAAAGAAGTCACAGGGAGTAAGGTGCGTGGGGCAAGAGAGACGTGCTGTGTTTTGCCAACAACTGGTGCACTGAGACCTCTGAGTAAGCAGGTGCATTGTCATGGTCGCACAACCAGTCCACCTGCCATAAATCAGGCCTTTTTTGTTGCTCCTTGTTACACAAATTTTTCATAACCTCTGAAAGAAAGCATTGGTGCCTGTTTGAATGTGAACTGTGAAATGATCAGCAAGCGAGGGTTTTCTGTGTCTAAACCACATAGCCTGGTTAGGGTTGCGTTCGCCGAGTCTGGCACTGACTGCTCTCCCAGTGGATGCAGGGCACACCACTTTTCTGCTCCCATTTCCTCAATTAAGGAGGGCTAGGAGTAGTACTTACAGAGATGTGAGTATTGAATACGATAATAATGCAAGTAAGTAAGTGCTCAGCACCTGGAATAAAACATGCGCCCAATAAATATATTTTATATTCCCATTACTTCCTTTTCAAACAAGAGTTTGTCCTTTAAGAAAACTATCTCTTGGCCCTCTGATTCCTGTCCTTTCCTCCTGTCTCATTTCCACACTACTGACTTCTAGATGATTCCATTAAAATCCTTTGCTATAGTATATTAGAAATAATTTGGTGGAAGTTTTTATTCTTTGTGAATTCTGCAGTGTCACATTGTCATATATACAATGTATACATATATATAGTCAATCTTACTTGCCTTTATCGGAATTTCATTGAGACATCCTTTGGATTTACAGCTTCATTTCAGTTATTCATGTTTCTAGTCATGAATTAGGTTTACGTTTTCTTAGAAGACAAGTGTAAATATCTATTGAGTGTATTATTTGCTATTACTAAACAGTTTGTGAGAGTATTTTCTACGAAACTGACAAACAACTTTGGATTCTATTATCAGACAAAATGTAAAT